CAGGTGGGCAAGTGTGTCTTCACTGCCACCCCCCCCCATCCAGGCCATGTCCCAGAGGGCGCGAGGAGAAGGGTGCATTGTGGTGTCCAAGGCGGAACCGTACCTGCTGGGACGCATCACCACCTTCGCACTCGCTGCTCACATAAGGACCTGAGCCCACGGCGCTGGCGCTGGCGCTGACGCTGAGCAGGCCCCCACCTCCGGAGCACCCCGGAGGTGCCCAGGCAAGCGAGTGTGTCTTTGCCGTCAGGCCTGCGTGACCAGAGCCCCACGGAGCCATGGCAAATAGAGCCCAGAGAAGCTGCTTTTGAAAATACCTCTTCAGACAATAATCAAAAATATAGAACCAGAACTTTCCAGATTCCTGCCATGATCAACCAGCTTTGGGGAATTGGGCCTGCCTGCCTGCACCCTGAACTCTGGACTGGGTGGCCTGGGGTGAGTGTCCCTGTACCATCCCGAGCCCCTGGGAGGGAGTTTAAGATACCTCAGATAACAGCAAATTGGGGAGGGCAGCAAAACCCCAGTCAGCACGCTTAGGAAAGACCCTAAGCAATATGAAGAGGGCCAGAGACACCCCCCACCCCAGACACACCTGTCTAAAAGAAACCAGAAACATGACAAGAGATAGAAATTTTTTAAAAAACCTCCAGCCACCGACCCTGAAAAAATAAGCCCAGGAGATATAAATACAGAAGAGAAACAGTGCAGTAATCATGCAATATTAGATACAGCATTAGCGGACATAAAGAAATACCTTCATGACCTCATAGATGAATTTAAAACTGTAATTCTGATCTAAGTGAGATAAGATATAAAAAGATTAATTAAAGAAATAATAAGCCCCTTCCAAGAGAACACAGATGGAAGAACAGAGGAACTCAGAAAAGGAAGAGAAACCTTTCATGAAGAATATAAATAAAATCTAGAATACATGAAACAGATCCAAAGAGGAAACTAAAAACTCCATTGAAAGCTGGCAAAATGCCTTGACAGAAACTAAAGTTAGCCTTTTGAAATTTGAAGAGAGATTTATGGTGTATGATCACGAAAGAAAAGATCTCTTAAAAATAACAAAGAACCAGGAAGAAATAATACAAAGGCTAGAAGATGACAAGAGGATTAAAACTTAAGAATAAAAAATGTGAGCAAAGAAGCAGGAGTAACTACAAATGAACTACAAAGAATATTCACAGATATAATTAAGCAAAACTTTCCAAGCATAGGAAAAAGAAATGATATTCAGATAAAAGAGGCATACAGAACTCCAGCCATCTACAACCAAAACAGATCTATACCCGGACATATAATAAGTAAGATTCCAGAAATCTACCACAAGAACAGAATATTAAAAGCAGCCAGAGAAAAGAAGCAGATTACCTACAATGGAAAAATTATCAAAATTACGACAGACTTATCAACACAAACTCTCAAATCGGGAAGAGCCTGGGGGGAAATAGTCCAAGCCCTGAAAGAAAATAACCTTCAATCAAGACTGATGTACCTGGAAAAACTCTCTCTCAAAATTAATGGAAAGGGGCTGGGGATTTAGCTCAGCGGCATAAGCGCCTGCCTTGCAAGCAGGCAGTCGTGAGTTCGATTCCTGGTACCGATAAAAAGGAAAAAGACAAAAAAAATTAATGGAAAAACAAGATATTTCCAAGACAAGGAGGAACTGTGAGAGTTCATGGCCACCAACCCAAACCCCCCCCCCAAATACTGAAGCACATTCCAGAGAGAGAGGAAAAAATACCATGATTCCAGCAACAGTGACAGAGAGGCCTCAGTGAATGGGGCAGACAGTGGAATGAAGGAGTAAAGTGGACAAATAATGACAGAAGAATAAAATAGCAGAAATGAGGCAGAGACGGTAAGCTATAATCTTTAATATAGATAAGCCCTGATACACTAACAAAAAAAGAAACACAGGCAGAGTAGATTAGGAGGCAGGATCCATCGAGATGCTCTGAATAGGAGATACACTCAACCTGAAAGAGGGTTAATAAACTGAAAGCCAAAGATGAGAAAACGATGCTCTATGTGACAGGAAACCAGAGAGAAATAGGGACAACTCATCCAGCAGCTGCAGATAGACTGGAAAGCTATGACACTTTTGTGCAGTGTAGAACTACACAGCCGGAAGGAAGGACAACCTTGTGACTTTAGTAAGTAAAGGAATACAGCTCAAGATCAAGCTCAGGGGTAAAAAGGTTTAGCAACGCTCAGATAGATAACAGGTTGGCCCCCTAATCTAAAAACTAAAAGAGCTAGTGGGACCCAAAATATACAAAGCACCCTGAGAAAGGGAAAAGGGAGGAATTATCTAAAGAATGAAAGCAGAGGACATTGTTAATAGTGTATCAGGATTTAAAAGTCACAGTAGTCTTTTTTTTTTTTTTTTTGTCTTTTTCTTTTTTATCAGTACCAGGGATTGAACTCACGACCACCTGCTTGCAAGGCAGGTACTTATGCCGCTGAGCTAAATCCCCAGGCCCCTGCCAGACTGCTGTTTATCCTTGACTGATTTCATTCAAATATGGTATCCTTGATAGTATCAAGTCTGGGAGTGGAGACAACTACTCTGAAGATGACAAGATGTAAAAGATATCCATTCTGGTTTTGATTATTAACTGCTTTCAAGTCCTACAGTATCTTCAAAGTTGTGTTTTTAATAAAATAGCTATGCAATGTTGTGTTCAATTATATTATGCCTGATGATGTGGACAATTCTATTGAAAATAACAAGAGAAAGCATAGTAACTACTGTAGATCACCTAATAGTGTGGTCCTATATGTCTTTTTCATGTTTTTCTAGGAATTTATTTTGTTGTCTTGTTTTGATCTGTTTTTCCTTATAATACAGAAAGGATAGATATACATGCAGAGATTCACACATGGGAAGAATTTCTAAACTATTTACAGGAACAGATTATATAATACACGATGTAATGAATGGATGCTCTAAAGAAGAAGAGACACTAAGAAACCCAGTGCTATTTCTGTAGTGTTATATGAAATCTAGCAATACTATCATTCACTGTTCAGAGTGATATGAGTCTAGTCTCTTATGTTCAATTTCAGCAGATGTAAAGATAAAGACAGCTACTACAAAGAGACTGAGAAACATTATGGTAGACATTATTGACTTCCCCAAAATCAGGTCTTAAAGACCTAACAAGCCTTCATCATCTTGCAATGATCTGATTAGTTCTATAATGTTCAGTATATATTCAATGTGTGTGAAGATGGGGACAACTATTTGGAAGAAAACTAGAGACAGTAAGATAGACAGTGAAGATCTCCAGTGGACTTGCTTAGAAATCTGTTTCTTTAAATTGTTTCCTTATAAACTGTTTTGTTCTGTTTGTTTAATCTTACCCTCTTTAAGATAAAAAACAAGTGTGTAGGACTGATAACCATATTACTACGTTCTTGTTGGATCGATGAGCAGAAGTGTTTGCCCTGTCATTGTTTGAATATCACTCTGTATGCTTTAATTTTGTAACTCGAGCAACTATTTCTAAGATGACGGTATGTAACTTATCGACTGGTGCTTTCTTACTGTTTATTTTTCTGAAATTCTGTATTGTTTCTACCCTTTTTATCTGTTTTTTTCTTTAAATAAGAAAAAATTTTTTAAAAAAGAAAATACTTTGCAATTATTAAAAACAGACGTGCAGACATTCCATGAAATGGATGGTACTGCAGCATTGCATATAAAGACAAAATACTGGAAGCATTTTATATGTCTCGTCAAACAGGTTTGGAAAAATAAATTATGAAGCATTTGTAATGTTGTGAACTTACTTATGCCAACTTGATCTAGACACATGAGGCTGTCTAGTAGCCATCAGTGATCCCAGGTAAGTGGGGCCTATTTATTCCTTATCTTACTTCCAGGTTATAATGAAAGTAGGTCTCAGGCCCAATCAGCCACACACATATTAGCAAGCAGGTGCACAACACTTATATAGTCTCTTCGTGGCTTCAGATGAATTCCAGCTCCCAATCTTTGCACGCAAGGTACATTTGAGGCAGAGGCTACAGAGTTCTAGAAGCAGGATTCTGTTAGCTTTGTAGGCAGCATCAGGGAATCAGAATGTCCAAATTCATGGCTGGACAAAAGACCCATCAGAAACTTAGCCTTAGGTGCCACTGAGCACAGATCACATACCTGTCTAGATTCTAACCACCTCATTTGTGCAAGGGTGAGGAATACCTAAAACATAGTTGATATAATCCACGTACTTTGAATAGCTCTCAATTCAATGAGAAGAACTATCATTTTTTTTTGGTGCTGGAGCTGAAATCCAGGCCTCTGTGTTTGCTAGGCAGGTTCACTGCCACTAACTACACTCCCAGCCCAGTAAGAACCCTTTTCTAATAGCCATCATGCAGATTAACTTAAACACTAATTATGCTCTTTAGCAAAACATTTTTTGTGGATGGGACATAAAAATAATGTACACGAAATACGTGGCAGGAGACGTTTCTGGTGGTGTTTGTTGCAGTATTGAGAATTAAACCCGGAGAAAACTGAGCTACATCCTAGTTCTTTTACAGGGTCTTGTTAGTTGTCCAAGAGGCTGGCTTCTAGCTCTCTAAGCTCCCGCCCCAGCCTCCTGGATAGTTGGTTTTACATACATGCGCTGCTAGACCCAGCTGGAAGGTTACTTCTCCGATTAAAAGTGGCGGACGATTCCTGGCATGTAACTTCCTCCAAAGCGGAGCTACTTGCCCTCAGAGGGTAGCTTAGGCCAAATACACACATATTTGTAACTCACTGTCCGTATTAGAGTAAATTACCCTCCTTCCGACTCTCTGGGCACAGGCTGGAACCTGTGGGAGGCGGCAGGGGGCGGGGAGCAGGGGCGGAGATGGGGGGGCAAAAGCGGAACTGCGGGTGATTTTTGAGGTGCATTGTGGGAAATAGTTCAGTTTGCCGCTGTTGGAGCGTTAGCTTCTCTGATATTCGTTGGCTTTGAAAGCCCCCTGACACAATGTCGAAGCAAGATGTAAGCTGTTTTCCAGGCCTTTGGCCCCGAGTGGTCACCATGTGTATGATGAACCTCCCTCCCGCCACCAATCGAAGTTTATCACGGAAGAGTTCCGGAAACTTCTTGCGACCCCAAGGCCTACAGCTACCTCTACATTCACCTACACCCAGCGTCTCTTACCACAGCATGACGGGTGAGTTTCATGAGGATGGCGAACCAATTATAAAAAAGAGGAAAAAGAAAATTTACCTTGCCGACCTACATCCACGGGAAACTGGGAAGAAGAGAGAGGTAGCGAGGAAGTATCGAGACCGCGCCAAGGAACGCAGAGACGGTACGAACCAAGGGTATGCGGGAAGGGAGGCCAGCGCCACAGCTCCCTGTGAGACTGTGGGCCTTATGGGTGAGGCCGACTGCCCTGCCAAAAACAGAAGGCAGTTGCCCGGGGAGTCCCGATTCTTGGATAGTGACATAGAACATACCCGTTTGGTGAAAGGCTTGGATTTTGCTCTACTTCAAAAAGTCCGCACCGAGATTGCTAGCGAAGAGAAAAAGAGAGAATTTATGGAAAGGGTGCAGAAGGAAATCAAGGATAAGGATCCTGAAAATAAAATTGAATTTAAAACATCTCTGGGCCGCAGTATTTACCAAATACTTTTTAAGAACAAAGTGCATAAGCAGAATGACCTGTTCTTGCAGGGTCGCATGACTTATGTCATCAACCTGAAGCAAGATGCTGACTCAGATATCCCCATCACCCTTATCCAAGGGAAGCACAATTGCTCTGCCACAAAAGTCAGAAAGACCACGCTGACAGTAAAGGACACTATCATCAGCGAGCTCATCCAGGTCTTCTCCGATGCGAGGCAGCGAACCGATGGAAAGACATCACAGAATGATAAAGAGACACTGGAAGAGAAGAAACCTCCAGAAGCCAGCGTGAGCATCTTTAAAGACACTGGGGATTATGTACAACACATGACTAAGATGCTTCCGAACAAGGAGGTGGAAAGATGCCAGAAACAGGAGCATGGTAGAAAGAGAGATGGAGACCATAACCGACGGTGGGAGCGAGATCAGGACACGAAGAGAGGGGACACAAAGAAGCACAGCTACTTTGCTAAGACACAAAGAGACAATGAGCCCATAGACAAAGAATCTGGATCTACCAAGGGGTTCAGCAAGTCCATCAGTGAAAAGTTTGTGCCGTCTGCTGGCTGGGAGGATATGAAACTGCTAAAGAAGCCAGAAGTCAAAACACAGCTGGGAGATTTCTTTGACACATCCAATAGTTACGCAGAGTGCTACCCAGCCACAATGGATAACATGGCTGTGGATAGTGATGAGGAGGTGGAGTATAACAGGAGCTTCTTGAGTCACTGGCACTTCAATACCCAGGAAGAATACAAGAAGTACAGGAATAACAAAATTTCATCCAAAGCTGCATTCCAGTGTGACAGCAAGACATCTGAAGGACAGAAAACTAAGCACTGCAAGAAGACCACGGCAGAGTTTTGTGACCAACGGAAGAAGAGTGTGATCCTTGAAAAGATAATGAAAACTTAAGTCAAAAGACCAAAATTTTACTGTCTGGTTTGAACTGAAAAATCTCCACAAAGATGTGCTCTTTAGCTGTTGCTTTCTGCAGTTTCCATAAAAGTTATAAGCTTTTTTCTGATAAATATGTATAAATTTTTCTTTTATAATAATTTAATTTCTTTTATAATAATTAAAATTGGTTAACCTGAAAATAATAAGGAAATTATAGATATCATAATCCAGGTAGTAGAATACTACATGCCCATTAAAAAAGAATAAGAAAACAATAAGATACACCTCTACTTCCTGCAATGGTAGGATAGCCGAGATATTTTAAAGTAAAAGAAGCAGAAATATGTAGCCTGTTTAATTTTATTAAGGTTATATGATTGATAGGTATGCAGGAAAGTATAGATAGATCAGCTTTTATTACCTCTAGAGATTATAATTCGAGGGAAGAGAAACCACTTTTTCTCCCTGCATTTCTGTATTTTGAATTTTTTACAAGTATTCATTACTTTTGTGAATTTTTTAAATTAACATTTTTAGCCAGGCATGGTGGTGCACACCTATAATATCAGCTGGAAGGCTGATGCAGAAAGATCACAAGTTCAGACCCAGCCTGGGCAACTTAGTGACTTAGGAAAACAAAAAGGGCTGGGGGTGTAACTCAGTGTAAGCGCCTTGAGTTTACTCCCTAGTACCACAAAAAATTAATTAGCACTTTTAGGGGTAGAGATGTAGCTCAGTGGTACAGCACTTGCCTAGCACATGGGAGATCCTAGGTTTAATTCCTGGCACCACACAAAAGAACTAAGTGATAAATTATAATGTGATGAAACTTTTACAAGTATATTGTTGGGTAAAGTTGTGTTATATTCAGTGTGCAATGTATGTACCATTGTTGTCCCCTGGTTGATGTGTTTTAAAATTTTGTTTTAGTTTATTTTTCCTTCTTTTTTTTCTTTTTCTCCTTGAAATAAAATGGTTTTGGGAAAAATAAATAAAATGTGTTATATTAAATATTGTTAGTTAGCTATGATAACCATAATCTCTATGCAAAAACCTGTAGCAGATTGTATTTTCCCAAACAAATCATGTTACCAGGTAGCTCTTTTTACAATCTGACTTGGACAGGCCTCTACTGACAGGAGAGGTTTATGTTATCTCCTGCTAGGGTCTGAATGTTTCTTTCAAAACTCGTGTGATAATTTAATTGCCTCTGTACCACTATTAAGAGGTGAGACCTTAAGAGGTAGTTAAGTCAGGAGAACTCTGCACTCGTGACTTGTTTAAGGCTGTTATCAAGAGAGTAAAGCAATTTTTTTTTTGTCTTTTTCCTTTTTATCGGTACCAGGGATTGAACTCATGACTGCCTGCTTGCAAGGCAGGCGCTTATGTCGCTGAGCTAAATCCCCAGGTCCTGAGTAAAGCAATTATTGCAAGAGTGGTTCCTGGTAAAAGGCTGAGTTTGGTCTTATTTCTCTGTTACATGTATATACTCTTCTGTTGTGTTGTATGTGTGTGGTAGCACCATGCTCTTGGGTTTCCCAACTTCCACAACTATGAGAAATAAATTGGTTTTCTTTCTAATTTACCCCATCTGTTGTGTTGTGTTGTGTTGTGTTGTGTCGTTAGAGCAGTAGAAAATGAGGTAAGACACCTCCCCCTTGAACTTGAGCAGCCCTTTCTCACTGCCTTGTCCAACAGAATACACAGAGGAGGTGCTGCCCAGTGACTCATAAGGCTAGATCAGTGCTTCCTTTCGGTTTCCTCTCTTCCCTTGGGACACAAGCAAACCTACGCAGTCCTGAGCTGTCAGGTAATCCATGACTACCTTGAAGTCGCCATGCCGCAGTATCCGTATAGTGAGACTGTGGAAACGAGCAAAAGGAGAGATGCCTGCTAGGCCCCCAACTGGCCCAGCCACAGGCTCATGAATCTGTACAGCACAGGCAGGCTGGAGAGCAAAGAAGCCTTTCAGATGAAACTACCTCCAGCCTCCATCTCACTTCAGTAGCATGACAAACCCTAGGCCAGGACTCCCAGGCCAAACTGTCCCCAAGGACCGATTGATATTGGGGCTGGGGTGTAGCTCAGTAGTAGAGCACCTGCTTAGCATGCACAGTGCCCTAGGCTCAATCTTCAGAATGACAACAGCAAAAGATTAATGTTTCTTGAAGCCACTAGTGTTGGGGTGATTTGTTGAACACAGATAACTAGTACACCCCTTTTAAGATAACCTGCTACTGCCTTACCAGGGAGGGAAGAGGTCCTAGGCATCTGTTGACTCCACATGCACCCCACACATACAACCTCTAGCTCTCAGGACCACTGCAAACTGCCCAGCTCAGGCAGGACTGTATTGTTTTCCAGAAATTTGGGATGTGAACACTGGTGCTGAATCTCCTTGCTAGGAGCACTGGATTCTTTCTTTTTCTTTTTTTCCCAAGGCTGGAGATTCAGCCCAGACCTTCACAATGAGCTACATCCCCAGTCCCCTTTTATTGTCTTTTATTTTGGGACAGGGTCATGCTACATCCCTATGTTGCCCAGGCTGGGGCTGAACTTGTGATTCTTCTGCCCCAACCTCCTACAGAGTATAGGCCTGTACCACTGGCCCAGCTGGGCACTGTATGCTTAAACTTTATTTTCCACCCTATGTCCCATTTGGCAGAAGAGGACAAAAAAGCAAAGTCAACACTCAGAAAAAGGCAAGAAAGAAAGGCCCCACAGACTTAGAATAAGATGAAAATAAGCTTTCCTGTTTTGGAAAGCTTGTTCTTAATTCACCTTCTCCTCCTTGGCTCTTCCTTGAGATGTCCTGATGATGACAAGGACAATGATAATCATCATTGTAAGCTAAGGATGACTGGGTGCTAATAACCAAGCACAGTTTAAGAGTTTTACCAATATCACCTCATTGAATCCTCACACAACCTATGGACTAGACATCTGTCAGCCCCATCTTACAAATGAGGAAGTTGAACATGGTAAAAACTTGCCCAAGGAGACATGGACAGATGAATAACAGAGTCCATATCTTGCAAGCTCTTTTAACACTTCAGTCAGTTACCCTTGGATCCTGCCAATAAAATGGTCTTAAGGTGCTGGACATGGTGGCAGGGAACTGAGGCAGAAGGATCACAAGTTCAAGTCCAGCTTGAACAATTTAAGCAACTTGTTAAGACCTGATCTCAAAATAAAGAAGGGGCTGGGAATGTAGCTTAATACAAAGTCCCTGAGTTCGATTCTCAACACTGGGGTGAGGTCTTTAAGGTGATCAAATGGTCATTTGCAACCAAATTTTGCCTGATTAAGCTGCATATGTATAGGCTGGTCTAGTCAGGGAAGCTGTGATACACCTGGACTTAACGGGAATACAAGAGGGAAGAATGCAGTGACTGCAGAAAACAGCTCCAGGACCAAGCATCACTGCAGTTCCTGGGAGAGTGAGCTGTTACATAAGAGCAAGCCCAATACCCAAATCTCTCTGGCTTCCTGTCTTGCCCTGTGGGTTCTCCTGTGTATATCTCCTACCCTTGTGAAACTGGCCTCCCTGAAGCCCTCACCAGATGGGGCTGCTCAATCTGGGACTTTCGGCCTTTATGAAATAGTGAGCTCAATAAATCTTTCTCCATTATTATTCAGCCATGGGCATTTTGTTATAGCAAAGGAGTCAAAGACACTTCACTCTCTCATAAGATTTCCTTCATTTCAACCAGGCATCGTGGCACATGCCTGTAATCCCAGCACCCAGGAGGCTGAGGCGGGAGGATCACCATGAGTTCAAGGCCAACCTGAACTACACAGCAAGACCCTATCTCAAAAACACCAAAAAAGATTTCCTCTATTTCATATTTAATGCATGAATGTAAATAATTATGTGTTAGTTCATTCATCCATGCTATGTGCTAACAGTGCACTCTATGAACACTGGTTCTACCTAACTTGGAGCTGCCCATGTGGAAATAAGCTTGTTTTTCTTTACTCCTTCAAATGAGACATAACTTCTCAGCTTATTTCCCTGAAATTCAGTTCCAAGTTACCATGGGCCAATGTTCACAGAGTACATTGTAAATACACAACATTGGATAAAGGAATGATTAATGGGTGAATGTACAAGGTAAGTGTTTTCTATTCATATGAATTTAAATATGCTCAACTACCAGGTACAAACTAGAAGTATTCTATTCTTTCTTTTCTGTTCCTTCCTTCCTCTCTGCCCTTCTTTCTTGATTTTTTGAGACAATACTACATAGTTCAGACTGTCCTCAAATTTGTGATTCTCCTGCCTCAGCCTCTTAAGTGCTGTGATTACAGGTGTCTAGTGTGTTCACTGTACCTAGCTCTAAGACTATCCTATTTCTAAAAAAAATTAGGGGACTAGGAGTCCAGATAAGTGGTAGACCTAGCACATGCATCATGCACAAGGCTCTGGGTTCTACCCTACCACCAAAAAAAGAAAGGTAGTATAATTTACACATAATGAAAAGTATGAATCTCAAACAAATTGTTACATTTCCCTATGTATATCTCTCATATAACCACCACCCAAGTCAACATACAGAACATTTTCAGTACCCAGGAAGTACCCTTGTGCCCCTTCCAAGTCTTTCTTCTTCATTCTCAAAGCTAATGAGGACTTCTGGGAAGATGGCAGAGTGGAGAGCAGCAGAAAAAGAATCTCTCTGGGATTTGGTGTCCAGTCTCTGGAATATAGAAATGTGGGGAGGAGAAAGGAGAGAGGTGGGCCCCCAGGACTCAGGAATGATCTGGGGTAAAAATTGAAGCCCACAGGGAGAACAAAGAGAGAGACTTCAATGAAAGAGGAGGAGGTGGCAGGCAGGGCTTTCTCTTTGAGCCCAAGCTCACTGTGTGGGAGGGGCAACTAGAACCTGCAGACACATGGTGACTCTAGGTGACCACAGAGGACCCCATGGAGAAGTACACCAATGGAACAGAAGACAACAAGCAAATCACCTATAAAAGAAAGCCCATTGGGGCTGGGGATTTAGCTCAGCAGC